CTGCTTTCTATAACCAATGTTCTTTAAGATGCATTTGCTGCTCATGTCCACTCCATATTTGGTATGTGTAATTGCCATATGCAATGATGCTGGAAGCTTTTCCCCTCAATAGTATCTGTAGGGGAATGGCACCTGCATGGCACAATATAAAGGTGCTACCAGCTCTCCACACTCTCAGGTCCTTCTTTCCAGAAACTCCCGAAGTAGGGAAGGAGAGCAGATCATGGAATGGACCTGAGCAACACATCTCGAAGAACACCAGTTAAAGAAAAGACAGTTATCTTTCTGTAAGTGCTTGTTTATGTCCATTAGGGATGCTAAATTTTGATTAACTAAATCGAATAGTCAATGGGATTTCTATCGACTATTCAATTAGTTAATAAGGACTAGGGCGTTCTGCCTTTGAAATGTACAAGAGCCCCAGCAGGGACTTTTGTACATTTCAAAGTTGGAACACTGCCACTGCACCCCGCCCCCTACCACAGAGCTGGAGCTGAGGGGAACCGACTTTTAAGCACCCCTTCCTACCACCCTCCCGCCCCCGGCTTCCTCTTTGTGACAGAGGCACCAGGGACATGGGGGGTGATTGACTAGTCGCTTACATTTCTAATGTCCATTCCATATTACGTGACTCCAAGCAGTCACAACGGAGGCGGGTAAGAGCTCATAAGTGTGCGGAATGCAACATAGCTCTGCCGAACCCAATGCCATTTTTAGCTGGCTGAGTGATGGTATAGCATGCTATGAACTGAGGACCATGTTGTAGCTTTACAGATGACCTGGATAGGGATGTGCGCTAAGAAAGCCACTGAAGAAGTCTGCACTCTAGTTGCATAGCTCCGATGATCGGTGGTGGTGGCAAGCACGCCAGCTCATGACACATCCTTATGCAAGACATGCTCTAGTTGTAAGCCCTCAGAGGAAACCTGAAGGTCCTTCATCCTATCTTCTGGCACAATTAAGATTTGTATTTACTTAAGAAAGGCTTAAGTAAAACCCTCCAGACATCCAACATGCAGAGACTAGGTAACTAACTAATCAGGATTATAAATAACTGGTTTAACCGGTTAACCAAATAAGTGGGATCCCAACCTTGGTGCTGTGGCCGCGGCTGGCTCCCAACCCACACTGGAACAGCTCAATGCTCATCCCAGGCTGCAGGCACAGGGCTGTTCCCAAACACCAGTTAACTAGTTACCCATTTACATCCCTAGTGGAGACATCTCCTCACAGGTCTTGTATGACTTGGAACAGAACTCTGGGAAGAATATATCCTAATGCACATGGAAAGTAGGCTCCATCTTTGGCAGGCAGGCCAGGCCACGCAGGTCCACAGCCATATCTTATCTTTATAGAAGACAGTGTATAGCAATTCTGAGGTCAAAGCTTCAATCTCAAAGACTTGTCTCACCAACAACACTGCAATCAAGAACGCAACCTTCCATGACAGTTGTGAAAGGGAACAGAAGCCTACCAGCTCAAAAAGCAGAGCAGTGAGCCTGCAGGACCTCCTTCAAGCAGCTCCACTCCTTTGGGTTCACCATGGAGAGGTGGAGAGATGTGAAGCTGGAGTGCAGGAGCTGACCATGATCCATTTAAGACAGCAACTATGATGATTGCTGATGGAACATGTCATTTGCAGCTATTGCAGGGCTTGTAGCCATGGCCACAGGCCAGTCCTGTTCCAATTAGAACTAAATTCCAATTCCTGTCCCAACTGGAACAAAAACTCTAAACAATTGCTACGGGTAACTGTACAACTGATTTGTAAAATCTAATTCGTAAGAATGAAGACTAAAAAATGCTAGCAGGAGCAGCAGATATTCTGTGCACAGTCACTGGTGGCAAGAAGGAACTGAGAGGTGGCAGGAGTAACCATCATCTCTTATACCATGCCACTCATATTCCCGTATCCATAGGGGACTATGAGTGGCATGTGGGTGGAGTGAAGCAAGCGTAGAGCCTGCTATGTCCACAGGTCAGATCCGGTGCCTTGGAGGGCCGTATTTTGCCCAGGCCTGGTTTGGATGATGACTGGTTTTGACACCTGGTTATTTAGTATCAATTGCTAGTTGACATGAAATCTAATCAATTACTGAAAGAAAAAATATTTTTGGACTACCAGCTCCAACAACCCTGCCAGTTATGGTGGCTTAAACAACAACAACAACAACAAAACCACCACAACTCCCTCCTCCCCTTTAAAAA